AATAGAAAGTAAAAACCTAGGTTAAGTGAGGGTTTAAATTAACTCCTTGTGATATATTTTGAATGCTTCTCGTTGCATATTTTTCTAAATTGAAACACGAGATAAAGCAAGTGTGTAAAAGTATAGCAAAAAATGGGGATGTTTTGCGCCTATTTGGATACATGGTGTGTTAACCCTCGAAATAAAATCCGAGAACTCAACTAGTCATTGGCGAGATGAAGGCGACACGAGAGGGAAGGAAAGCAAAAGAAGGCTCGCCTAAAAATCACTTGCTATTTCTCGTATCCAGATTAGCTACTACTGTCAATAAATGGTCCAAGGGCAAGTGAAGAAAGCGTGAATATTAACTGAATCGGTTACAAGATAATCAACAAGTGTCGTCACCTGTCATTCCCTCAAAATGACTTAGTTGCCCTTATTTCGACAAGTGTAGCACGTGTTAGTTTAATGGTCTTTTTGAGCTTTCCTACTTTGAAGGTTCCATTGAGAATTTAGAATACAATGCTTGTTATCCATTTATGTCTTTGAAATAAAGTTCAGAGCTCCTACACAACATGCAACCTCATGCAAATTTTTCCTTTCCAGCCAAGTTCCCTCTTCATTTAGCTCTCTACTTTTTTTCTTCTTTTTTCCATGCTAGTTACACAAGTTTTATCTTTGCAGGCCCACACGGTTTTCTCATACAGAATTTTATTGACAAAACTAGATATTGCCCTCTCAGTAATTATCCCTCCTCCTCCCCTCTTTAACTAGATATGATGCTTTTGAAACCAATTTTAGATTATATGGAAATCTTGGTAATCTTAATCAAACAAGAAGCAATGGCCACAAGAAGTGTCTTATCACCTTCACCAACTCAATAACCTTATCTAGTTGACTTGTCTTGTGTTAAGACTAGATTATAATTGGTTTAAACAAAATGTTTGTGTCTGTTTGCCTAGGCGAGTGCAGTGTTTATAATGGATTATTCTTGTTATACATTGGCGTGTACATAAAGGTGTCCATAATGGACACCCTTATGTACACGCCAATGTAAGTGTAGCAAAGTCCGTCTATAATAGTCCATTAAAGAACAGCTAAAAGCATGCCTGCTAGGAATCAAGAGTATCTTTTCTGGTATTAACTTGGATTCAGAAAAAAATGATGTTCAACTCGCTTGGTCACGTATTACATCCCATGTGATGATGAAAATACGTCCCTTTTCGAGTTGATACATCAATATTCATTTTCAGTCTACCATTAGAAGGATTCCTCCTCCTTGTTTGTGACTAATTATAAATAAACCCCTTATTTTAACACTTTCACATACTTTTTCTTTCAGTCTAGTCTCCATCCTCCATTATATATATGATGCTCCATCTTCCCCACTTCTCTTTCTCACTAGGAAAATGGACAGCAAAGAAAAATCCATTTCCTTGCTCATTTTCCTTTCCCTTATGTCCATTTCCACTTCTCTTCAGTACCAAACTCTTGTTATCCACTTCCTCCCCATGCCTCAGTCCCTCAATTGGACAATCCAAAAAGAAGCCAGGATTATTCCGACAACTGAATCCGAAGCCGAAACTACACTACTGTCTGTAGACTTGCACCATGTCGATAATTTGTCACCATCTGCTCTCAGTTCTACCCCAGAAGCTCTATTCAATCTCCGTCTTGAACGGGATAGCGTCAGAGTTTCAATGCTGAGTAATATGGTGGCGAGGGGTGGTAGACACGCGCGGCCAAGGAAGGAGGGTGATTTTAGCAGTCCTGTGACGTCGGGTTTTGCACAGGGAAGTGGGGAGTACTTAGCGCGTATTGGAATTGGGACACCGGCGAGGTACTTTTCCATGGTGTTGGATACTGGGAGTGACGTTTCTTGGGTCCAGTGCGCCCCTTGCCAAAAATGTTACAATCAGACTGATCCCATATTCATCTCGAGTAAATCCAAGTCATTTGCCAGTGTAGCGTGTGGGTCACCTCTCTGCCGACTGCTGTACTCGCCGAGCTGCAGCACCCGGAAGAAATGCCAATATGAAGTCAACTACGGCGATGGGTCGTTCACCATCGGTGAATTGGCAATTGAAACGCTAAGGTTTGCCCGGAGTCATGTCAACAATTTCGCCCTCGGATGTGGCCACGACAATGAGGGATTGTTCATGGGCGCCTCCGGTTTATTGGGTCTTGGCCGTGGGAAATTGTCATTTCCGATTCAGACTGGCCACCGGTTTGGAGGGAAATTCTCTTACTGTTTGGTGGACCGATTCGCTTCCTCCAACCCGTCGTGGATTATCTTCGGTCCATCGTCAATTTCTCGAAATGTCGTTTTTACCCCTATGTTAACGAACCCAATATTAGGCTCATTTTACTATGTGGGCTTAAATGGAATTTCAGTTGGAGGAGTTCGAGTTCCGGGTATCACATCATCACTTTTTAGACTGAACCGAAGCGGTAACGGAGGGGTGATTATAGATTCGGGTACGTCAGTAACACGTTTAGTTTTACCCGCGTATATTGCTTTACGAGACGCTTTTCGTGCCGGAGCTTCGAATTTGAAATCGGCACAGAATCTCTTGCTATTCGATACTTGTTATAACTTTACCGGAAAGTCGGAAGTGATGGTTCCAACTGTGGTTCTACATTTTACAAATGTCGATATCTTATTGCCGGCGTCGAATTATTTAATTCCTGTGGACTCTAAAGGAAGGTTTTGCTTTGCATTTGCGGGTACGAGCGACGGGTTTTCTATAATTGGAAACATTCAGCAGCAAGGTTTTGAAGTTGTATTCGACCTGGAGACTTCTCGGGTCGGGTTTGCTCCCCACGGGTGTGCTTAGGGGGTAATATGATGTCTGTTTATTAATGTAATAAAGAGCAAAAATGGTTTATAATAATTTCAAGTGACCTGAAATATATTGGAATAAGCTCACAACGTAGAAATATATTTGTTTTAAGAATGTTCCAGCAATGTTAAAAATTTATTATGTTGGTACAATATAACGGTGTGGTTATAATGTTTGACATGGGATAAGCGTAACCTTCAAAAAATAATAATAAATAAAATTAAAAAAAGAAAAAAAGAAAAAAAATACATACAATTATTTTCATCGGGACTAATTATTTTATTTCCAGTGGAATATACCTTGAACATCAAAGACAATTTGCCTTTCCTATTAATTAAAGTTTAATATATTTATGATTTTATTTAAATTATATGAAATTATAAAATATGATTATTTCACTATGTACTTTTTAATTTATCTAGCATTTAGATTTAGTTGTCGAGTTAGAAATTTCTTTCAATATATATTTGGTAAATTAATTCAAGAATAATAATTGGATGACATTGTGGAATTAATACATTACGGGATAATATGGAAAGATTTGGTGTCTAATTACGTAATTTACAGATTTTATGCCACAGTAAACGTAATTAGATTTAAAAGTATTGATTTCTTTTTCTATTTATATACCTAGCTCATTGCAAATTAACTGTACGTTCTCCCGAGTTCCTAAAGCTTATTTTGGCGTCTCTTTTCCGATTTGCATCTTTGGCAAAGGTATTAGATTCTTATTTTATTTCCATCATATGTGAATTCAATTATATCTTTCATGTCATTTGCCAATACATTTATGATCCATTTGAAGCATTAAATTCCACGAAAAATGTTACATCCGAAGAATTCGTTTTTTATTTTGGTTGTTTGATGCAAAAGTGGAAATGAAATTCGAATTTCAAAGTACAAATATTTAAAGCATTTTTTGGCCAATTAAGTGGAAACCGAATTTCTATGATTTTTGTGGTTTTTTCTTTTCCAACTTAAATGGAATTGATTTATTTTTTACACTTTTACAATCAAACGGACCTTTAAATTATATCATGGCCGCCTTCATCATTTAATAACCACTTGTATGCACATACATGTGGATATAATATATTTAAATATTATTGTATGCCTATTTATTTAAATTGCATTGCCCACAATTACAAAAGCTTAAAAATGGATCCAATGAGATCAAATGTAAATATTTATGGTTTGATTTGATTGGCCTTTCTTTTGGTGAATATATTTTTATATGAGAAATTTCTTAATTTATCTAGGTTAATATCTGCAAATACTTAAAATTTAATCTGACTAGAATTTAATAAAATAAGATGCATTTTATGTTAAACTTGAGGTCTGTAGGATTGTTGAGCATATATGTAATAATTTTCTATAGTAATGTTTACTTACTAGAATACTTTTCAAAATAGCCAACACATGCCCAAGTGAGTTATATTCATGTCATAGCTGTTGGAAATCTATTTATACATGCACCACGAAAAATTAAAATTATTTCGATTTTCATCGAGGATCTCTTTGCATTTAGATAGAAATCGTGATAAAGATTATACCTCTGAAGAATTCTGCAAATCTTTTGCTTTTCTTTTCGTTCCAGCAATCTTGATTCGCCACCCACAGCTGTCCAATTATCCAACCTCAAATGGTGATCCACACAGAGAACAAGATTGCAGCTATCAGGATTTTCTCCTCTTGTGCTAACAAGAATAATTATGAGAAAAACCATATGGATTGAAAACCCTAACCATATATTTATATAAGTCCAAACGGGCCTGGTCCCGTCCGGTCCAATATTTAATTAATCCATTTAATTAAATCTGATCCGCGAATTAATTAATCCAATTAATTGATTCGGGTCTATAAATAACCAATCCAGTTAATTAATTTATTCAACGATTGTTAAATTAATTAATTGACAAATTGCAATCTTCCAATTCTCTTTTGTGTGTAGCCCATCAGGTTCCCGATCACGATGCCTAACGTCGTGAAATATTATTTTGATTTAATCAAAATTGATAAATTAAAATACCCTTTTAATTTATCACCAATCATACTCGCCGTCCCACATTGATATCTAGCAATGTGTCAGGACAATACATATAACGGGAAATGTCACGTGATATGATAAAATCAAACTCCTTTGTTTACCGTGAAATTATAATCCCTTCGTCAATATGATCTAATCAATTACGAGATATGAAAGTGTGTCAATCTCAATTATCGATTGTATCTTTCACTCCACTATTAAGTCAATATAAGTAGAAAACTTCTTTTCGACTTATGAGTACACCTTGACCAAGGATTTCATCATCGACTTAATTGAATGAAACGTGGATTATAATCTCCTACTATCTAAGAGTGACGAATCCTTTATTGGTCAATCACAACTTTCATATGATTCTTGACGTACCCAAACGATGTCATATTAGCGGTCCTTTACAGAGCAACATCCAACAACGCCAAAGTATGACTGTCTTCATATAAGGTACCATGACGACCTCAAGTCAAAAGACCAATTTCACTATCGAACGTTAGAGATTAACCACTGACACTCAAATAATTATCCATGTGAAATCTCTCGGTGGGTCTCCAATATTTTGTTCTATAACAAAACATCCACAGGTTCATTTTAACTTGTGAGATCAGCTACTTACTTCATAAGTAAGAAATGCCACATGTGATGGTCTATCCGTAATAACCATATCCGTCTCTCATTATTACTTACGACCACGGACGATTTAAGATTCAATCAAATGTAATTTTATCTCACAATCACAACTCCTTGTGATTAACAAATTATGAGGATTCGAATCTACGGACTCTATTATTTATTTAAATAATAGATCTGCCATTAAATTACATTAATTACATATCAAAAGTATTTATGTCCAAAATTGATTAGACCTATGGCATAATACTTATAAACTCCCACTTGCACTAGATCCAATCATTTATGTATCCAATACCATAAGTCTACATGACGATCATGTTTATGCTACGACAACTTTTTGTCAGTGGATCTGCAATATTGTTAAATGTGAGAATTTGTTCTTCTCTTTACATCATTTCTATGTATTATCTCTCTAATGAGATTATACCGCCTTAATACATGTTTGGATCAATGATAAGACATTAGTTCCTTCGCTTTCGCAATGGCTCTATTGTTATCACAATACAATGACATGTGATCAAAAATATCAGGAACTACTCCAAGTTCATTTTTGAACTTCATGATCCAGATTTCAACTCTTTGCTACTTCTAAAGTAATCATATATTAGGTTTCTACTATTGAATCAACGGTTGCTTCACGTTTGGAATCTTTCCAGCATACCACTTAAGAGTAAACCAATTTCTCCATATAAAATCTTCTCAAGATTTTATCAATGTAAATTGGGATGAATTAGGCAATTTTCTAGATCTATAGATCAAGTTACTTCTCCCATATCGTTCATGAATAAATCATTTGACAACCTTTTATTTCAACGATTGAAACATAAGGATGTCGTTTTCTATAATCTCAGGAATACGACAATGCTCCCACTATCTTCTTGTAAACACACAATTCATCTTCAAATTTGATAAAATCAAAAACTTTGACTTTTTCATTAAATCGAAGATTTCAACTCCATAGAGACTTATCTTAACCTATAGTTATGATATGCAACTGTTGCAAGTAAAACCCAAATGGACTTCAGCAAGACCACAGGAGAAAGGTTTCACCAAAGTCAACACTTAACATTTACTTCTAGCCTTGCTTTGTATATATGGATATTCCCATCCATATCGACCTTTTCCTTGTAAACTATTTACAAAACCTTATGGGTTTTATTCCATCAAGAGGCTCGACCAAGGTCCAAACCTTGTTCACATACCCCCGAGTTCATCTCGAGTATCATGGCCTCTTGATGTCTCTTTTAAGTCAACACTTGACTTTATTTTGGTGGAATTAGTAGGTTCATCATCCTAAATTAGTAATACCTGATTAGTAATCACGGATTCGTACCTTCTTGAAGGTTAAATGATCCTACTAGACTCACATAGAGCTGACATGTCCTCAGAAGTCTCTACTCCCTGATTAATAGTATGTCCATATCAGATATGGGATCAAACTTGGATTTATCTACTTGTTTAACTATATCTGTGGACTCTTGAACTATTTCAAGTTCTATTTTGCTCCTACTGTCCTCCCTTAGAGTAAATATTTTTTCTAAGAAGACAATATATCGTGAGACGAAGACTTTCTTCATGATAATAGAATTTATATTCAAATGTCTGCTTTGAATATCCCCACAAATACGTATTTATCAAATTTAGTGTCAAACTTATCCGATTCAAGGCACTTCAAATAAGTGTCATGGCCCCAAACTTTCATATGAGATAAATTTGGAATACTGCCTTTCCATAACTCATACGAATTTCTGTTAACTAACTTAGATGTGACATGATTTAGTGTGTTGCACACTGCAATCAATGCATGACCCCAAAACAATTTTGGGAGATTTGCATGGATTGTTATTAATCGCATTATATCTAATAATTAACGATTCCTCCTTCTAGATATATCACTATACTGTAGTGTATATGGAGGAGTTCACTGCAAGAGAATCTCATTCTCTCTTAGATAATCCAAATTTTATCTTCAAGAAATTCTCACTCGATCGAATCTTAATGTGAGAGTATCTTTACATATTTATTTTTCTACTTCTAGTTTGAATCTCTTGAACTTTTCAAGAGTTTCATGTTCGAGTTTCATAAAGTATACATGATCATTGATGAAATAAGAGAAATATTATCTGACATCAATTGACATGAATCCATATACATCACTATGCATTAGACCAGTAATTATACTGACCTTTCTTCTTTTCAAATAAAAGAAGATTTGGTCATTGTGCCAGACATGCGTAATTTGTACTTGTCAAAATCAATTAATCTCGAGTATACATCTTTATGTAACTTTGGAATTGCATTTCATCTATATGACAAAATCTGTCATGCCAGATTTTGGTAATAATTAGATTATCGCATTTACGCTTTATAATTTCTATACTCATTACAGAATCCTTAGTATTAAAGAATATAAACGTCATTTTGTAATTTGCCATAGCCATTAGGATCTATATCAAGATAAAT